AATGGCGGGTACCGCCACCGTTTTGACCTACTGAAGAAGGGTACCTCACAACAGGAAGAATTTTGATTTCGATTTCGATATTTATGTTAGTATTTTTGCTCAGAGTCATCACGAACTTCGATAATATTTACAGTGCACAGTTGAGTATTTGACAGCATGAGTTATCAGTACAACAGTTAATGGACTTTATATTTTTGACGCTAGTTTTGTTTTTCTAGATCGCCAACGAATCTCACGGTTACGTCGGCGCTGATCTAGCATCGCTGTGTTCCGAAGCAGCTTTGCAGCAGATTCGTGAAAAGATGGATTTGATTGACTTAGAAGAGGAACAGATCGACGCCGAGGTGCTGAATAGCCTTGCGGTTACAATGGACGACTTTCGCTGGGCGATGTCTAAGACCAGCCCATCGGCTCTACGCGAAACCGTCGTCGAAACGCCAACCATCACTTGGGAGGATATCGGCGGTTTGGAAAATGTCAAGAGAGAGCTTCAGGAATTGGTTCAGGTAATTTAATAGTCTCTTTTTTGTGCCTCTGAGGATATGAAAGGTTAATAATGCTGTTGTATTTTGTTGATTATTTGTTTATGCTGAAAATGGCACGAAACAATATATCTGTACACAGCGCGAATAATTTTGTCATTTAAGCCTTCTAACTCTGAACTTATGGAGTGCTGCAGATGATCAGAATCATTTCTGAATTTTATTCACATCTTTATCTGGAAGATACGTTTTCAGTCAGAATTTGTTCTTACTTCCGAGAATCTTCTATGCTTTGTTTTTAAGTACGTTTTGTCAGTTTACTCACGTTTCTCTGTAATAATACTTGAGGGATTACTGCTAACAGTTTGCAGAATTAAAATGAGCTCCATGAAACCAATCTCTATGAAAATCCCGAATCCAGCCTTAAATCCGAAATTTGTAATGTTCGGTTTCAGTACCTGTGGATGACCAGCAGTTTAGTTTCCAGTTTTTCTGATGATATGAACTGCCTTTTTAGCGCACATGTTTTGAGAAATTTGGCATAAACTCAAGCTGCTTCATGTTCTGACCGCAAAGCTTTAATGAAATTTTGAACAGTTTTTAGTTTCCACATTTCG